ATCGGTTCAGAAATTCGCCCGTTATTTGGCGGGAATCGACCTCGGGTGGCCGTGTTTCTAACCAATGCTCACACACACACATTTACAAAGACACAAACTCCCAGACACAAACTTACACACTCAGACAAATATCCCTGGTATAGCCTTAACAGACTTAGGGCAAGTGCTCTCAGCGAGCGATTATCAAAGCACACGAGGGGTGGGTGGCCAGCACCACGCCCGGTCGCCTTTGTCTCCCTAGTGGCGATATCTACACATCGCATAGGGAGCTCATTTGAGGCCGAGTCGATCTAAGGCACACAACTAACACACACACACAGAGACATGCAAAGACACACGCGTATAAATTCACACAAATGCACGCACAGATCAAATTACGCATACGCTTGACAACCATTTTTGTGCACGCACAGATTTATCAGCGGTGAGCTAATGTGGGTTTTCATCTGGATGGCCTAGCACCCGTCATGGAAATGTGCAATTTGCACAATGGGATCAGGTGCCTCTAACATACAAAAACGTGAAGACGCATTTTTCACTTCATGGTATTGTTTTCTAAAGGAGGTGCTGTGTTTACTGTCATACCTTTTAACTGGCCGCAACCAGGGGGCATGCCACACCATGAAAATACGATTGAAAGAGTGGGTTGTGATTTCTGAGGCTCATCAGCAGCGAGTTGCCCGTTCAACAAGTGCCAGTGGTTTGCCTTGATTTTTATATTCAAGAGCAACGCCACGAGGACCATGAAGCCAATTCAGCGCAGTACAGCAACATGGCTCAAATGTACGTTCTGTTAGTGTGTACTGGATGTGTGCGGGGCTACTTTGTGGGCAGCGCAGCGTACGCTATTGTTGCGCTGTACTTCTATACTCCCACCATCTGATATCCCCGCCTTCAATCAACCCGCGCTGACCAACCTGGAGAAGTTTTGTAAAATTAACCTCACGACCCACATGGCGTGGGCTCTCATCCAGCAGTGGAATAGCAGAGGTTTTGTACCTGTGTATATTTTTCCGTATTCTCCCGATTATAAGACGCACCGTCCCCCCTTTATTCTAAAGCAAACGTTTGGGGGGGGGGGGGGGGGGAGGTGCGTCTTATAATCCGGTCGATTTGGTGTATGTAACCAGATCTGTATAACTGTCAGAATCAGAATCTTTATTTACCCCGGGGGAAAGAGCTGTGAAGCTCTTTTTCACAGGTACATCTTACTTTCCGACGCGTCTTATCAGAATGCGATAACTATCTGTATACAAGCAACTGTATTTAATGTGCAATACACGACCAAGGCAACAACAACAACAATCACCACCACAACAAGAACTCTCTCCTCCAGTTTTAGACTCGGCTCTGCTGTCCTCTGGTGGGGGTCCATGGTCATAGCGCGTGTTTGCTCCGCGTGTTTGCTCCGCAAACTCAACGAGATACTCTCCTCTCGGGTAGTCGTGCGACCAGGGACGGATTAAGGTTCTTGTAGGGCCCTACGCACTTCTGTTTCGTAAGCCTTCAGTGATGACTTTCTACAAGTTGGTACCGCCGCTGTCACTCGCTTGTTTTACACGAAGCACAACACCGCATTGTCTTCCCTTGCACTACTCTCTATTGAGAATGAGATTGCGCGAAAAACACCAATTCAAGATTGTTATTGCTATGAAAAAATATATCTCAAAGTTCATTCTCCGGTGTTAATTTTTCTCTCACCTTATGAATAAAACATTGACATTGACATGACTCTGCCTCTTCGTATATACACTGTGCATTGTGGTGCCACGACAACGAAGCCGCTCCGTGGGAGCCGTGCCTGCATCGGGGGTGCTGCGACAGAGAAGCCACCAGGCTGCCGTCACAGCGCTTCCCCCGCCACCCCCCACATGAACACACACTCACGTAGGGCCTCGTGGGGGGTCACCTGCCCCTGAGTTTTCACCCGAGGGCCCCCTCGTGGGGGTGCTCCACGGTTTCTCAGGGCCAGGGAATTGGCAGCCCCCCCCCCCCCCCCCAGGCCGAATGGCACTGCGGCGCCGTGGATTGACTTAAAATTGCACGGCCACGGCGAACTACTGAGAACCGCAGTGAGGAAACAGCCAAGGGCACACGCGGACCAGTAGGCAGGTGGGGGGGGGGCGGTACAGGTTGATCCCTATGATGCGGTGCACGCGGCAGGCCGGCAGGGGGCGGGGCGGCACAGGCCCACCTTTAGGTGTCGGAGGTTCACTTAGCTAAACAATGGGGGGGGGGGGGGGGGCGAGGCGTCGGAGGGGAGGCTCCTGAGTGGGTGAGAAGCCAGCGGATCGGCGGCGCGTAGGCTCTGAAGTTGGAGCATAAAAAGAGATGAAATTGGGAAGCTCGTTTTATTTTGCTTGGGGTCTTCTGGAGAGAGTGACCGAGGAGTGATTGACCCCTGCTACTCGAACGTCCGTGAGACGGGTCACAGAGCAGCCAGGTCCAGCCCCAGCAAAAGCCACGTGCAGCCTCGCCTTTCAGCGACCTCCTACACCTCGAGATCGGATCGTAAGTACGAAGAGGAGAGGTAAGGCAAAGGGGGAAATTCTAATAGAGAGAGTGAATAGAGGGAGGACAGGCTACTGGAGTATTAGACCGTAGAGAGAATGGTTAGATATGCCCTGCTGGTCCACACTGACACAGATAGGTTGGCTGCATTAAACGAGAGAATCAACCACCAGTAGACATTAAACCGTGTCGTGTTGTCTCTGCGAATACGGAGAGGGGTGCGTGGGGTGGTGACCCTGCGCGCCGTGGTTTCTTGTGTTTGCGCGCGGGTGTGTAATGTAACCGTCGTGTGCGCGATCGACGCGTACGTTAACTTGTGAGCCCGTGCGTTGTGGTGTCCCGTGTATTCTGGCCGCGTGGGTACTCTCGCCACTGCACAGCTCGGGGTTGGCGGGTACGAGAAGGGCACAGCGGTGTATTTGTAAAGTGGTCAGTATAGACATTTAAATCATGCCACGAGGGGCAGCCGCGAGGGGGGGAGAGCAGGAGAACGGGGGGGTCACAGGACAACGGGGAGGCGGGGGTCAGTCTCCCCAACAGCATATCATTGCTATATATACGTATATTTATTCAAGAAGATATCTTTGTTAATTTTTTCTTTATCGTACAAACAATCAAAACAGTAAAAAAATCGTCGTGGGCCCTCAGCACAGTGCCTATTGGATAACTCGCCTTGTTCCTGTCCAAGGACGACGGGTGGTGTATTGCAGTAAATCTGAAACTTGCAAGCGAAAATCAGACCGTGACGTGATATTCATTGCATCCATTCATGTGCAATTTGGAAGGCCGCGGTGACACAGACCTATTCAATTCAAAGGTTATAATCCCTTGTTCATCATGACGTCCTTTTTACTTCTATGTCTCAATAGCGTTACGGATATCGCGTGACGTGAGGGTTCTGCCTTTGTAGTGAGGGTTGTAAGTTGACGCCGAGGAGGGGGGAGGAGTCGCCTCGGCCCCACATGTGGAATGACGTTAGCCCCAATTAGTATGAATGGGAGGGGAGTCCATGTGGAGGACGTCACCCGTTCATGATTATTAATGAGGGGGGCTGGTCGACGTGGATTGACGTCACGCGCGGGACACACATTCTTGGCTCATCGTAGTAGTAAATACGGCCCTGGGTGCGACTGTGAGGTCATAACCCAGAAGAGACCACGGGACACATTTATGATGAATCATTGTACGATTCACAAACACGAGGGAGGGAGGTGTCATCACAGTGACGACACACTCCGCTACTCCTGACGCCATGATCGGGCTCGACCACCTCGATGTAAAGAGGAAGAAGACTCCAAAGATGAAGATCCCACTATAGCATTAACAGACTCTTCGGTCAAGTTCTGTTAGCGAGCAGCGATTATGAAGGGCGGTACGGCACACAAGGGAGTGGATGGCCAGCACCCCGCCCGGGGCCGCCTTTGTCTTCCCAAGTGGCGATGTTTACACACCGCTACACCAGGTACTCAATTTGAGGGTGAGTCGAGCTAGTTGAGGAGGCCCGGGACCAGTTCAGATAATCTTCACCGGTGTTGGTGACCGTGAGCGGGAATCGAACTTGGGAGGCTGGGTTCGTAGCGCAGCGTAGCACTTAACGGGCAAGGTCACCGGACCCCATTAGGTGAGGGAGACTCGACGACAGCGCACCGCGTGTACTCGGGAGTTTGTGGCAGGGCCGGCAAACAATCGAGCGAGAGAAGAAATCGTTGACGGAGGGGGTGGACGCAATGAAATCCGCTCGCGCACAGGTGGATCAAACAGTACCTTGCCGGACTTAAGACGTGGCGCTTACCGTGGGGAATGCCTTCAACCCAGCAGTGGATTGCTGCTAACTCAGCAGGGGTACGACACAATGAAAAGAACAGCCAATGCCCGCCATTGGCTACTAAGTGGCGGTGACGTCAACACGGCGTCTGTGCCAGACCAGGTGCACTTTGAGACCACGTGAACCGTCGAAGGCTCGCTGAGAGGCGGCCCCCTGGACAGACCCTGCATGTATCATGGGTTGACTGGCAGATGCACAAAGCTGTGCCCCCAACGACACAATCACTACTGCCAGCATCACCACCATTTACCGAATCTGCATTCACATTTGTCATTTCTTTTACTCGTATCCATACGATTTATTTTCCCATAAACCACATACCCCCATTGCAATGTATGAGAATAAACTTCAACATTGAGGGAATTTCCTTAATGGTGTTAATATTTGATTTTAGTTTAATATACAGCATTGCCAATTCAGTGCATTCTCGACTGCCACTTTGTAAACTGGGGTTCGGTAACTTACTTTGCACGTGCATAACACATTTCCTATAAAAGCACAGCTTTTTACTTCCCGATCGAATCGATTACCATACATACACGTCTACCCAATACATTATTATGAATAATACTTTACATGCAATTTTTAAAATTATTTCGGAGAGCGTCAAGAGCGGGAATCGAACCCGCGGTCCCCCTGCTGGCGTCGCTGGTCCCCCCCCCGCCCAAACCAAACCAAACTCAGCGAATAATCCACGCGGGCCGCGCTCGGCGCTCGATTAACGCAGCCTGCGCGAGCCCGGGACCCGGATGCTCGGGCAGTAGCCAGCGGCAGCAGGCAGGAGTAGGAGGAGGACGAAGCAGAGGGGAGACGCAGGCCGCGTGTACCGTCTCTTACACCCCCTGCCACCCCGTCCGTCAGTGCCCTCCTCGCCTCTCAAGTGCAACAAGCCTCAGTCGGCTCGGTCAGCGCGACCATAGCTCGTCCTCCTCCCACCCCAACCCACCCCGTAACGCGAAGAGGCGGAGCGGCGGCCGCACCGACTCATGGCCGCGCTGGGCCGCCCGAGGAGGTGATACCGCGGACCCGCGGGCAGAGCAACGAGCCCGGGCCCAGCGATGAAGGTGCGAGCGCTGCAGCGGGAGAGCGCCTACCGCTGGTTTGGCGAGTTGGATCCCGCTGGCCGCCTCGAATTCCTGTGCGGCCTCCTGGACCTCCTGAACCCGTTGGAGCTGCGCTTCGCCGCCGCCTGCCTGGAGGAGCTCGCTCGCAAGGACCAGCACTCGCTCCGAGACGCCGAGCTCAGGGCCAACAGTGCCGCCGAGCTGCTCAACGGGGCGGCCCCCGGCGCGGGCCCTGGCGAGGCGACGGCCGCGCGATCTGATCTCGGGGACGCGGCGGTGCGAGGCCGCCTGCTCGTGTCCCTCGCGCTGCTGCGCTCCGATAACAGGGAGGCGGCCAACGCGCTCTACAGGACGCTGGGACCCCCCAGGGACCCCCGCGGGAATGGGGCTGCCCAAGCGGGCCAGGCGGGCCAAGCGGGCCAGGTTGGCGTTGAGGCCCAGGGCCTCCCGCAGACGCGGCGGGGCGCGGCCACCGGGCTCGCGATGCTCCTGCCGTTTCGGGCCGCGCTGGCCTCCGGAGAGGCAGGCGCCAGGGCCGGCCAGGAGCTGGTGCTGTTGTACACCATGGCCTCTAACCACCCGGCCTTCGCCTTCCACCACAAGCAGGCTTTCAGGCTCACGCTGCGAGAGCTGAGGAGGGCGCTGCGCCAGGCGAGGCGGGGAGACAGGGAGGTGCGTGGCCGCCCCAGGTTTTGGTGCCCCAAGGTGGTTACGGGCCCCATGTCCCCAACGTGATATTGGGTCAAGTTGTGTTTCGTTTGTTTAATTGGTGGCGGTTTCTTTTAACACCTTAAGCGGGATTTATTTTACACTCAGTTTTACGCTTCATGTCATGTGATTTCAGGGGCTTTACATTTTAAGGTACATTTTTTATGCAGTTGTCTCCTGGTCACAATTTACAGATCCCCAAACTCACAACCGTCATCTGTAACTTTGCATTAAACACTTTCATGTTAGATAAAAAAAGCCTTAGTAGAATTATTTTACTTGGGTTGATGTTTTACGTCATGTCAGTGAAGGGAAGTGGAAAAGTGCGTGTTATGCAACTTCCCTCTGGTGTACATTTGAACACATTCCTAAATTTCGCCATGTTCATAAATAGTATTTGATGAGAACTATAAAAAACTTACAAATATATATTTTGCCAGGTAATGCCCGCTGAGCTCTATAGCAATTTTCAGAAGCCACCTGGCCACAAATGATAGCTCAACGAAGTCGCTTGTCACATGGAAATGTAAAGCAGCCAAATACTATTAATGCATGTTTCTAAATGTGGAGGGAAAACCCGGAGGATCCGGAGAAGGATCCACGTAACCACGGGGAGAACACTCCATATATACAGGCGTCATGGTCTGGATCGAACCCACAACCTCCTTCATACCAGGCGAGGTAGTTAACATATCTCCACCGTGGCGCCTATTATTTTTCCAGGAAAAAGTGTCCAATTGCACTAATATATTTGACTCATTTCTGTTTAAAGAGCGTTTTGTGTCATGTCGGAGGTAATAAGTGCCTGAAAGCAAAGCGACCATTGGATATTCAGTAAGGGGATGTCACTCAAAGGTCTACACAGACCGGTCCACTCGCCTATCCGCTGTGCTGCCACCTTACCATTGTGGAGCCCAGTGGGTTTGGGAGTCTCATGAAATGGATGGAGCATACAAGGTTAATCATACGTTGAAATCGGTGGATATAAGTGTGCATGCACAGCAATGAAAATTACATAACAGGTTAACAGTTTAGGAACTGTCCCTTGTGTAGATTACCAAATCCTGAGTATAGGCCCAGATAGAATCTCTCACTTGTGTTTTACCACAAAACTTTACTGGTACCACATGCCTTTTGTAGTCTATAACAATTAATCGATAGCACCGTTACAAATGGATTATTATATAACTCACATGTAATCTACGTAGAAATGTGTATGACTTAAGTTCATTATTTAATGTTGCACCAATTCAGAGTAGAATGGACTTAGCCCAAAACATTTGGCTATTGGTGTTTCTCCTATAAGGCAGTGTTCATTGGGAGCGTGGTGTGCATTGGTTTATTTAATTTGTGCCAGTACACCACTGCCAAGGCGAGCCCTAAATTTGTGTGTCATATCTCCAGTCCTGTACCCTGTATCCCTGTGTGTGTACTGGTGGGTGGCTGGTTGCATACATTATCTTTAGTGAAAGCAGTTTCATTTTGTCATTGAAAGCATATTTGGAGAGATAATTACTTAAGGTATTTTATACCACTGCTCTCTTTAGTATGGCATTTGTACATATTGTGATAATGTACAAGCTCTTTTGTCAATACAGTTCTGTTTGTGGTTCATGTTACTATTCTGTGGCACACACTGTAATGTGCATATTAGAGTGTGCCACAGAATAGTAATATGTACATTAAGTGTGTATTGATTTTAACTTGGGAGGATTTTCATATTTAAGTGTTTGGAGTTTTACATATTTTGTGCCAAATTCCTTTCTTTCAGATTTTTTAATTAATTTGCCTGATTAATTATTTTCCAAATTTAAACAATAAATTAGAACTATTTAGCAACTTGAATGATTTAAATGTTTCTGACATTTAAACATTTTTTTAAGTAATTTTATTTTTCGATTTAAAGCTTTCGTGACTGCAGTGATTCATCTTCTTGGTTCTTTCGGTAAAGTCACGTAGAATGGAAATAAAATAATAAAAATAAAACATAAAATAAAATTCTCACGACGTTTCAGCCACAACACAAGTAGCCTTCTTCAGGTGAAGGAACACAACTGTCGGGACGTCAGCGCTTCAATGAACGCTGCTGAGCTTCGCAGCGTCTTTTAAGCTAGGTGGGAGGAGCAGAGCGCCTTGACAAAGGAGTTTACATATCAACAGGAGAATTTAGCATTGAAATAGCTGTGGTAAAGTGTTGGATTAGCAGGGTGTTAAAGTCAGAAATGAGCATGTAACTGGGAGATTACCATGATGTTAATGTGAGGGATTAGCATGTAACTGGTCACGGAAATAGCTATGTTAAAGTCAGAGTTTACATATCAACAGATGAATTTAGTATATTGACGCTAAAGGACTGCAACTACCCAACTATCATACAATAAACCGATGTGAAAAAAAGCTAAGTATAAACTACATCAATATAATACATTTACTCAATATATTCTTCAATAAGTTGAGCTATTAACATAAAGTAACTGGGTATACACTACACTGGTTAAGCAGTGTCTCACCAATACATACTTCACTTGGAATGGAACTTTCTACAAACAAACTGAGGGCACCCAAATGGGCTCCCCCCTATCTCCAGCTATAGCCAACATTTTCATGGAGAAATTTGAGACTGACGCCATCCAGACTGCCACTCTGCGCCCAACGTTATGGAAGAGGTACGTTGATGACATTTTGTCATCTGGCCACATGGCCGGCCTGCTCTAGACCAATTCTTCGACCACATCAATTCCATACACCCAGTCATCAAATTTACCATGGAAGTTGAAAAAGATGGCAAGCTACCTTCTTTGGATGTCCTAATAAAAAAGAGACCTGATGGTTCAATGAGCCACTCTGTCTACAGGAAAGCTACCCATATGGATGCTTATCTGAAACCGGATTCCCACCACCATCCATCATAGAAGAATTCTCTCATCAAGACTCTGTACCATAGAGCCCAATGCATATCCGACCAGGAACACATAGGCAGTGAACTCAAGCACGTACACCAAGCTCTTAAGGCTAATGGTTACTCCCACTATACAATCCGCAAAGCTATCACTCAAACCATGAAGAAGGACCGTCTTGAGGAGCCTTCCAAAACCATCACTTTACCCTACTTTGCGGGGATCACAAAAAAGATCTCCAAAATCTTGAATAAACACAAGATCCAGGTCCGTTTCAACACATTACATTAAATCCGTGATCTGGTTCCGTCTGTAAAAGATGTGATTTCAGACATACAGTACCCTGGTGTCTACAAACTAAGTTGCCTCTGTGGTGGTAGTTACATTGGAGAAACCAAACGACATGTCTCGGACCGCATTCGTGAACACAAAGCAGACCTTTGTCTGCAAAGGTTCTACACGGTAGGGCCAACACCTCGGCCGTGGCAGATCACTGTTATAATTCAGTAGGCTCACATGACAATGACTTCTCCAAGACAGAGGTTCGTTGCAAGCCATCGGGCTACCATTAGAGATTCGCTCATGAGGCTATCCACATATACAAACACAGAGACAATTTCAACCGAGAAGATGGATTCTGGCTTAGTAACCACTGGAAAGATTTGATAAACCATTTCGGGTCTTAATTGATTGTTCATGCTTACGGTGGCTTTCAGAGAGCATACATTAATTTTTCGTCACCCCCCTCCTCTTTTCCGAACATAGATGGACTCGTCCATCTGAACAAACTGTTAAATCGCTATCCGTGGTGCTAACGTTTAAAAATGAATAAAATACAAACCGCCACTTTCAAATGTTCTTGCCGTTGGTTTTCACACCTGATGATGACTGCTTGTGTTACAGTCGAAACGTCATGAAAATTTTATCGTTATATATTTTATTATTTTATTGTTTCCCTTCAACGTGACTTTACCGAAAGAACCAAGAATATGAATCACTGCAGTCACGAAAGCTTTAAATCTAAATTTAATCAATGTTATCAATAAACTCAATATACTCTCCAATCAGCTGAGCTACTAACAATAAGTAGTTATACATTACAATTCCATGTCGAAAAAAGGGTGGCGGTTTTTTCTTTTCAACGTTAGCACCATGGAAAGCGACGAGCTTTGTTCAGACAGACGAGTCCATCTATGCTCGGAACGGAGGAGGGGAGAGAAACAGCCACGATGCGCTGCTCTGTGCTATGTTAATAGCTCAACTTATTGAAGAATATATTGAGTACATTTATTATATTGATGTAGTTTATACTTATTTTTTTTCACATCGGTTTACTGTATGATAGGTAGTTGCAGTCCTGTAGCGTCAATATACTAAATGCATCTGTTGATATGTAAACTCTGACTTTAACATAGCTATTTCCGTGACCAGTTACATGCTAATCCCTCACATTAAAATAATGCTAATCTCAGTTACATGCTAATTTCTGACTTTAACACCCTGCTAATCCAACACTTTAACACAGCTATTTCAATGCTAAATTCTCCTGTTGATATGTACACTCATTTGTCAAGGCACTCTGCTCCTTCCAACCAGCTTAAAAGACACTGCAAAGCTTAGCAGCGTTCATTGAAGTGCTGTCGTCCCGACAGTTCTGTTCCGTCACCTGAAGAAGGCTACTTGTGTTGTGGCCGAAACGTCGTGAGAATTTTATTTTATTGTTTTATTTTTATTATTTTATTTCCATTCTACATGACTTTACCGAAAGAACCAAGAAGATAATTTTATTTTCTTAAATGTTTTTTTTTATTTTTTTATAATTTAATACTTGTATTTCGTTTTTTTTATATACATTTCATTTTAGTCTCTAAAAATATATTCTTTAATAGCAATCGCACTTCGTAACCAGGAAAGCCTCATCAGGTCTTATGATTTTTTCAGGAGGGCCCTGCAACTTGGCCACTTCTTTTCGAAAGATGTTTTACTTCACGTGAGAGGAAACTTACGGACAGGTTTACGAATCCACTTGCTGTTCTACCAAAATCTTGGCCCCATACTTTAGTAGCCCAGTGGGTTTTAGAGTTTCATAGAGGTGTGGTTAATCTGCCAACCCTTGTCTCTAAAGATCTGGATCACATGCGTGCACTAACGGTGCCGGCTGTGAGGTGAGTGCAGACAGGAACTTGAAGCAACTCGCATTCGTATACTTGTGCACTTGCAGACGTTAGAACACACAATCACCCAAAGACAAAGATCTCTGATATAAGCTTAACAGCAAGTGATGTTCGCGAGCACCTCAATCTTTAACACACTGGTACATGCAGACATACACCTACACCCTACAGACTCACACTCTTGACACTCGTACACACTCAAACCAATGGCGGAGCCAGGATATTCAGGTAGGGGGGGCAACCCCTCCAGCAATGAAAAATGATAGGAGTTGTTAGTAAGTAAGGACTTGTCCCTTGCTTTTTATTCGACGCATGTACGGCGATGGCGCAGCCATCGATTGAGGGTTGGATTCGAACCGTGTATGATCGGCATCGCGCTCGCTGAAGGTATGCCTTTAGGGAAGTCGTGTACTGTATACGCAACTACACACAGTTCTGAGTCACTTATAACTGCTTTGCCGTTACTTATTGCCAATTATGGACTCAGACTATTGTCCTATCATCTCATAGAGTCCCTGGCACATAATAATATGCTACACAGTGGCAGTGGGTGTCGCAAAATGCCGATTTATAAAAGGGAAAATATATTAAAGGGAAATTTGTGAATATGTGTGTCTGTTCAAAATGTTTAGTGTACTTCCCGACATGCAACAAATTTTAAATTTGCCATGTGGGTGCTTTCCAAACTGTACACCATGCAAAAATTATAAAAATACACTTTTGTATATTTTTTTTTGGGGGGGGGGGCGTAATTATGCATATATTTTGCACGGCAAGTGAGCTTGTGACGTGACATCTGTCATGTGACCCGTATGCGGAAGCGTCACGCAGTGTGGCTGCTCATGTCACGCATCCCCCCCCCAACCCTTTGTGGATAAAAAATACAAATGTGTTGCAGGTCGAAGGCGTTCTTCGCGCAGCATTGGTTTATTATTTCAGTCGTTTACTGCCGTATGCACCCTGAAAGTTGTGTGTGTCTGCAGCAAGCGCGTGTATGTGTGGGGGGAGCGGTAGTGTAGTGGTTAGCGTGCTGCGCTACGAACCCGGCGACCCGATTTTCATTCCTGCTCACGGCCACCACCGGTGACAATTATTTGAACCGGTCCTGGGCCTCCCTTCGGTCGACTCAGCCTCAAATTAGTAACTGGTGTGGTGTGTGAACATCGCCACTTGGGGGACAAAGGCGGCCGGGCGTGGTGAATCCAAGTCCCGGGCGAAGCCGGGTAGTGAAGCTAGTTACTAATAAACCACAATGATCCAATCGAAATAGGCGATTTCGATCGGATCATTGGGGGGGCACGTACCACCCCCCCCCCCCCCCACTGGCTCCGCCAGTGACTGAAATACTCACATACTCATTCACACCAGTTATGTCACACTGAGTTCACTTCCACTTGAGCACATAGAAGTGGCATATCAATTCTATGACATCTTTCAGATTAATCCCAAATATATTTTTTCCCAGATACAAAATTTAATTTCCCAAGCGTTTCAGATGTTTGCTGATTACTCACAAAATTAGAATAAAATCCTTGTTTTCATGATCTAAATTTTACACATCAAATTAAACGTCAACATTTTTTATATTTGTTATTAAAATGTAACATAAAGCAGCCAATGTCTACATAAATCAGGTTCTTGGAAAGTGATGTCTTTTTTTGTTATTACGATGGGAGCCATGGACAGATGAAACATTAACGTTAACTGCAGTTTTTATAACTTGACTTTTATCAAAACTAAACTCGTACATTTTGGGCAACAGAGGGAAGTGCTGCAAAATCTGTTCTTGTACATTACATCCATGCTCTCCACCTTCGGCACTGACCAGCATGGTGAAGTATGGTAAAATAACCCCCATGATTCACCCAGCTAGACAGCGGCCCTTCATCCAGCAGTGGATTTACAAAGGGGCTGTACATATCCAGTCAACCCTGCATCAATGTACAGTTGTCCCAGATTCCCATCTGGTTATTATAGACATAAAACTGCAGGCACTACTGTATCTTAAAATCTTTGCATTTGGCTATTCACACATGTCAATACCGAGCCATGGAACTAGTTAAAACAATTTCTATTTTGATGCTGAACAACCCACACGTGTGTGTGTTGTGAAGTTGCTCTGCAATACAGTATCATGGTACACATGTACTTTACCGTAACAGGGGGTTTTAAACCTTTTTACCAGGACTGAGAAAGAGAGTGCTGTGTTAGGCAGACGCGTTCTTGGGAAACTCTGTATACTGTGGCCTTGTCAGTGACCCTTCATCCTCCTGGTGGCAGACCTATGTTTGACCTCATGCCTGACCTCGCTCAGCCCTAAGGCTTTAAATACCCATGGCCCGGCTGGTACAGTACTTGGCGCCTCGGATGCGAGCCACTCCGTACGTCAAGTGCGATTAAAAATAAACGCGCACCGCTTGCCTCTTAAAACCACCGGAGAAGCCACTGGCTGTTTTGAGCCTGCACATAAGCAGCAGAGAGACGGTCTATGTAAATTACTGAAGGCGGGGTTTTATTTTCTGGCTCTTCTGGCAGCGCAGTGCTGTGAGATGCACTCTGCTTGCCAGTAATGCAACAGTAGAGCTGTGTCATTTGTCTCGGGAGAAGGGAGGAAACGATTTCCCCATTGGTTGTTCACCTAAAATGCGTAACGTGTGTATGTGCAGGCTTTTTGACAATAGAACTGTTGGATGAGGGCCGTCCGATGTCATGCGTATCGTCGAGGGTTATTTAGCCATTTACTTGGTCATGCTGGTCATTGCGGTTTTTGAATTCGTTCTGAGCATAGAAGTATAGTATAACAGTTGATTTTGCAGCACTGCCGTCTGCTTCCTGCTACACATATCCAGAACTTCTAACACCTGTAATCCTTGGTAGTACCAAGCCTTGGTGTAGGGCATATTTCGAGTAATTTAGTCATAGGAAAAACGTGTAAATATACCCATAATAAAGTTTGCCACCCACCACCAGCCGTGAGATTGCTTTTTACTGTTGATTCGAATATAAAGTAGCATACATAATGGTAACAAGTCTGGGTATGTTGGCTCGTGCGTCCTAAATGATGTGGAACTTTATTTATTTTTCAAGTCTGTACTTTGTAATGTAGGTTATGAAGAGCACAACTGCAACACGTGTGTGTCCGTGTGTGTGTTGTTTTTTTTGGTTGGTGAAGAATTCTAGGAAGTCGGATCCTGATGGCGAAGGCGTTGGCGTGGACAGAGAGGACCACTCGTCCGATGGGGGCCCCGAAGGCCTGGAGCGGCTGCTCTATAAAGGTAGCCGAGGTGTGTGATGCTGCCAGGGAAAATCATGGGTATGTCAAGCTGCCCCAGCGACTTGTCTGTATGTTGACCTGCAGAGTACGAGGTAATCATAATAATTGTTTAAAATTGTATCAATACATTTTTCATGTGAAGGCCTTCCCTCGGCTATGTTGATGTCTTTTGGTTGACTGTACCTCACCGCGCTGGTCAGTGCAGATTGATGAAGCGGTCGGAAGCCCAAGATCGATCGGTTCTTACAACGCACGCTGCTCGTGTTAGCCATCTCCTTGAATTGAACCGAGATCGTCGTTGGGTTCATGTTGCAGTGCGCTTACCGATGCGCCACCGCTCCATCCCAGACCGTGAGATAGCATGGATATTTATCTCTGTACGCATTCATTTTATTTTTGGCGGAAATGTGATGTTTTACTTGAGCGCGGGTGTGCCTCTTCCCCTGCAACCATAGCATTACGTAGTATTGAGAGCAACTGTGTTTTGCAAGAAAGCAGTAGAGCCGTGCATGTCCAAACAACAGCAAATGTTGGTAGTCATCCGATGGCCAGGATGACTCTAAATATATTTACGTGAATAACCAGCTTGTCATTTTTGAGAGACATGTACCTGGATGCATTGTGTATACAGTACAATGCCACGTTTCTGACTCGCTGGGGATTGATGGATATGGGGAAAATGTCAGATGTGTCAACATTGAATAGACAAATTACAGTTACACCATTCACGAATAAATTACTGGATAACAATCACAAACTGCTTGAAACGTGAAAAAATGCTTTTGTATGCTTTATAAGTCAGCAAATGTGCGTGAGATTAGGGATATATCTGCATTTCACGTCAAAAGTTCTTATTTGTTAATATATAATGACAGTTACGCCATGCACAACAGATTGTGGGCGATTAATTGGTCAGGATGGATATATGATGGGTCAATTTGTGCGTGCGTGCATGCGTTTCACCTTGCACAGGATAAAAGTGCAGTTGACTCTACCAGATAAACCACTAGCTCTGTGACTATTACCCTTTGTGAGGTTCTCAGAATTTGCCAGGTGGCTATGGCTACATATGCCTGTTATCCTCCAGCACAGTGGAGTAGAGGGTTGGTGGATCAAACAAATGTTCTGAAACTCCTTTCCTGTGGACATCGATGAGGTTCCACACCCTGCCTTGCCAGGAGAAGGTGGTACAGAAAATGTTGACCCCCCCTCTACCTGTTCATCCGTGTGGGATAGTGTTGCCTCCTGTCACGCGTGGGTTTCTCCAGGCGGTTTCCTCCCACATAAATTGGATGATGACACCTTAATCGCGGACTGCGGAGCTTCCATGGTTCTGATGCCTCTGAGTCATTCTGGCTCTTCGAGAATCGGCAAAACACTGCGGCGTGGCACGTTATAAGCTGAAATTATTATAATTACTTACTCTTCGCTCCTTGTGGCGCATAAGGCCGCAACAAACCCACATCATGCCGGACGGTCTTTTATCAGCTTTCTCATTATAATTAGATATAGATTATTTTGAGTTTGGAAAATAATACGCCAGATTCATGGTTACACTGTCATTGCTCACACCACAATATATCACAAATCCCCACTGATCTGTACATTAAAGGAAATAATCGTCACATTTCTTGGTGCGATTAATTTCACCCTTTATGTTAGCATCAATATGTATGTGGATCATGCATTTTTTGAAGTAAAATTTATTTTAAATGCAAATATTCGATCAAATATTGCCACCTGGTGTTTCACCTTGAGTCATTGTGAAAGGAGGAAGTGACTGTTAAGCTTAGACACTTTCAAGTTCAGAGATTCTTTTTTTAAAAGAAAACAACGCTTGCCCTTTTACAGACGCTGCGGTATTCGCAGAATATTTAGCAGAACTCTAATACCCACATTTGTGAGTAAAGCTTCGGCACTCTAATACTCACATTCGTGAGTAAAGCTTCGGCACTCTAATACCCACATTTGTGAGTAAAGTTTCGGCACTCGACGACGCTAGAAAAGAGGGAAATCGCACCATGGGCCATGCCAACTGCCGGCTCTACCAGTGGCAAAGAGGACAGAGTGGCACTCATTGTTGATTGATTAAGGTGCCCCGCAGATGCAAGTTTCCGTGTATACGAAAGTTTTTTTTTCACGTCACAATTTGCTCTGGCAGTTAATTAAAGCAGGGTTTTCAATGCACTCTACGCCCGGCTATCGGTTGTACCATCTGCACAGCTGTTATATTCTGCATTCTTTGAACGTATACATGTATAAACGTATAAATGTGTAATAATATGGTGTGCAGACCTTCCCTGGTATGCCACGGACAGGGTTGCTGTTGTAATCCCAGGTGCCCGTTTTCCTACACTTCAACGTTTGCAGGCTGCCGCGTTGAGAACGAGGCCAACTTCGTTAATAGCAGTTCCGTTATTTTAAATCGATTCTTTGTTTTTCGCAACTGAAGATTAGTCGCCACCTGCAATGGATCTTGTTTAAGAAACATTTTTGTAATAATTTTATTTGTTAAGCTGGTATGCACATGCTGCCCGAAATATGCTAAAGTTAGCTTTTAATGACAGTAATTTTTTCCTTTGTGGACATTTGGTTCAACTTGGCAGGAAAAAATACAACTTTGGTTATGCTGTAGCGTAACCAATTCTTCCTTCTGAAGAGTAATATTGAACGGAAATGTATTTTGTGTTTTGCAGTGAACTATTGAGCGTTGCTATAGTAGTCTTTCTTCAGAATTTGGCTTATTCGTTGTAACAGAAGATGACACAGAAAGCACAAAGGGAGAATTTAACGTATAGGAACCAGTAACCAGTTTTACATTGTGGGTGTTAGCTATCAATAATGCACCAGCATGACTCGAAGATGGTGCAACTGATAAGCTAATTGTAGGGACCCCAACGTTAATAAACTACCCTATACATTTTTGAATGTTGCATAACTGCCAGGGGATATCCGCTGCATGCCTACAACACGGATTTTCTTTGTGGTGTTGAGGCATAGGAACAGGGCTGTCCGTTGGCTGCACCGTGTTTAGTGAAAAGCATGCTTTGTCGGCTGACTGCTTTGGATTCATTGGAAAATTCTGCATCTTTGGCCAGTGTCACACATTCAGGAGTTGTTGAAGCACATGTTCATTTGCTTACGATCATACATGCATGTTTACACTATCCCCGTGCTGTGTACGCGTACACGTAGAATGCACCCTTGGAGTAACAGCAGTCAGTGGATTTCCTCGGTGTGGGTGGTTTTTCGGGTGGGGGGATGGGGTAGACCATCCAAAGTACGATTATTAATGTGGCTTGTCAGAATGGCGCGCTTGCAGCGTGGTGTCACAATGTGCAAGTTGGCATGAAAGTCCTCGGTCTGTGCCGGGCCGCGTGTGAAGGAATTCGGGATGTGCCACTAATCATATTGCCCACACATAATGGCTTTTGCGTTTGTGTTCGGCGCAAACTTCGCAAATTAGAGGTCGCGCCGGCTGGACACACTTCTGCTTTAATCCCTTGTAGGCCGTGTGAGTGATGAGCGGTGCCAGGAGCATTACAGCTCAGCTTCCATGCGTCACACAGCATTTGAAAACTAATTTCTTTAAAACTGCTTTTTTGTGTTTAGTTTGTTGTCTTGATTTGAAGCTTTCGTGACTGCAGGAATCCATACTCTTTGGTTTTTTCGGTAAAGTCACGTAGATAGAAAATTAATAGATCACGACGTTTCGATCGCAACGCAAGCAACAGTCATCAGGGTGAAACAAACACAGCAGGAGAACTGCTGATGTAGCTGACGTAGCAGTTCTCCTGCTGTGTTTGTTTCACCTGATGATGGTTGGTTGTTGCGATCGAAACGTCGTGATCTATTTTTTTTAATCTACGTGACTTTACCGAAAGATCCAAATAATATAATTTGTTGTCCTTCCTCCCCGAACCTCCGATTATCACGGTCGGCTATGTATGGTGCTAAAGAAGTTCAACAAACGTACATGCGCAGTGCTAACAACTTGTGCCTCTGGGCAATAAGTGCCTGGGTTTGATTCCCTACTCTGTGGCGTTTGTATGGTCTACCCCTGGTCTGCAGTGTGTGCGAGATTGTATGGAATACGATAGTTTGATTCTAGCTCCCGACCAGTAACAGTGGCTTATATTTGCAGCAGTCCTGGGTAGCCCCTAGGTAAATTTTCCCTCAATGAGTATTGAGTGTGGTGTGTAAACATCAGCACTGGGGAGACAAAGGTGGCCGGGTATGGTTTCGCCACCCACCACCTCGTGTGCCCTACTGACCTGCAACAGTGTTCGCTAACAGCACTTGCCCCAGCAGTCTGTTAACGGCTATACCGGGGATATTTGTTTTTGAGTCTGTGAAGTTTATATCTTCTCCCCCTGTTCAGCATGGGTTTCCTCCATGATTCTCCGGTTTCCTCCTCATAGCTAAACAATCAAAAAACCATAACATGTAACTGCCACTGACCAAAAATCCCAATTCTATCAAAAATACCTGGAAATTACTCAATTTGGATTCTAAATAGCAATATCGTCTCCTAAAGCGAAAGCTTGAGAGAACCCTCCTGAAATGGTCTTGAGACTCGGGTTTTCCTGACTAGATAATCATAAAAATAAATCAAGTGGAATGACGAGGGCCGGCGTGTTCTTTTCCCCCCTCTGGGTTTTTGAGATGCCAGCATCCTTCCAATTAGCTCGGTTGACTGCGTATGGCGCGAACGAAGTTCTACATACATACACACACACATGTAAACACACTCTTTATCAACAGACTTCCCAATTGTGTTCAAGCTCAAAAGCAGCTTTGCATTCCTTACATACGGTTAATCGTAGAAGTGACGATTGTCGAGGTGTGTTAGAGCACACCGCCAGTATATACTCGCGGTAATATGGAAACACATTTTCATGTGGGCGGTAACGTTTCACTCGCGGCGCGTCTAGTTTGTAATTTGATGGTAGCCGGCAGGCCTTTGGTATTTCGTGATGTAACCAGACTGGAATTTGGGTATTCGTACAACAAGGAGATGTTAAATACATTTGTGATATCACCGCACGATGCAGTTAATATTGCAACGAAAGCAGGCTGTGCAATCACACTGCATTGTGCATTGAGAGCCTGAGGCACGCAACGTTGACCGATGTATTGGAATTTTCAACTGAACTTCTAATTTTTGTAATGCGGTAACAAGTCCAATATAATGCTGGTGTCGTGGGCCAGGAATAACAACCGCGTTACGGGCTACTACCTGCGTGTGTGTGGCTGTGGGTATATTTGTGTCTGTGGCTGTGGGTATATTTGTGTCAGTGGGTGTGTGTCTGCGTCCTCGTCTCTGTGCGTCCGTTTGCCCAACTGAGCATGTGCGACTAACGGGAGTTGAGAGGGTCGGGGGTAGGGTCGGTGGCTGTGTGGCTGTACTGCACTATGACAAATGGAGAGGGGAGGGCAGGAGGTGGGGAGTGGTGGCGGAGGTGGGGAGTGGTGGCGGCTGGATCAGTCACTGAGCACATTGTGTGTTTTCGGGGACATGACTTTCCCCGTGGTATATCCAAATCTGCGCTGTCATGAGCCACGTTACATCTGGCTTTTATTGTATATAGCGTATAGTCAAGCGTTCAAGCTCGCAAAATGTTGGTATATGGGCATAAAAATACCACTCGACAAACAGTTATATGAAACTGCCCCTCCTGTTGAATTGGCCTTCTGCATAGTGTCATGAGAGTCTGGGATGAATGGCAGCGTTCATGCTAACGTGCGGTATTACCCCCGCTCACTAACTGTGCTTCTCTTGGACAGGTCGCTGTCCGGTGGCCAGTGGGGTGGGGCATCTAGGGAGAGTGGAGGAAGATTTCTCTGACCTTTCCAGCCAGGAGCAGGGTAGGAGGCAGTTTTGGCACGCATTTACCTTTAATGTGCATTGCCCAGCGGTGGCGAGTTCACCTTTTTGCGGAGATTCGCGGTTAGGTTCCGACAGGCCACCCTGATCAACGCCGCGGCTGTGTGACGTTAAAGATTCCGCGGTGCCTTTTCAAGAGAAGAGTGGGCCATTGCATGCCGGCACTGCGGTCATAATTTGAAAAATTACTAACAAATGACTTTCTGGAGATAAACTTGGCCAGGACCCTCCTTAAAAATAATTTTGAGACTCTGAGGCATTCCTGGGTTAAATAAGTGTACCAATAAATGATAATATTTTCCTGAGCACTTATGTACATAAGCCACATTTGAGAGCGAATATGCATTGGCTGAAGCATTTGATAGTCTGCATTCGACAAAACATTTTCGCAGGCCAAATTTGAAATGGCAGCCAACCCCAAATGTGTTGTGTGTCAGGGTTACAAGCATTGCCACACATAATCTATATATAAAAGGGAAATTTGTGAATGTGTGTCCATTCGAAATGTTTAGCATACTTCGCAACATGCAACACACTTGAAATTTGGCATGTGGGTATCTTCCAGACTGTACACAATGCAAAAAGTATAAAAATAGACTTGTATTTTGGCAGGGGGTGCAATGTATATATTTTGCACGGCAAGTGAGCGGTGACGTCACATCTGTGATGTCGCCCGCATGCGGCAGCGTTACGCAGTGTGCCTGCTGACATCACGCATTCCCCCCTCCACCCTCCGCATAGGCCGTGTATTAATCCAAGACAAGAATCCCAGTCTCGGGCGAAGCCGGGTAGTAAAGCTAGTCCTGTTTATAAGTGCAATACTGTTTGCACATTCATATTCTTAGTTTTTTCGGTAAAGTCACGTTGAAGGGAAACAACAAAATAATAAAATATATATAAAACAATAAAAACATTCTCACGACGTTTCGACCATAACTCAAATGGTCGTCTTCACACACCTGAAGACGACCATTTGAGTTATGGTCGAAACGTCGTGAGAATTTTTTATTGTTTTATATATATTTTATTATTTTGTTGTTTCCCTTCAACGTGACTTTACCGAAAAAACTAAGAATATGAATTACTGCAGTCACGAAAGCTTTAAATCAAAATTTGTTTGCACATTCATGAGTTTTTACTTTTTTTTAAATGTGGCATTAGTTTCAGAATATGTACGTTTAATCTCTTTCACACCGTACGTAGTCAACAGTGCTAGTATCTGTTGTGTTGTAAATGACGACACGAAGGCAGATGTTGTCGGGGCTTACGCCAACAGTTTATTAAGGGCTGTCGCCTAGCTTTTGGGGAAGGGCTAACACAAGACTTGGGTAAGCTAAATCTCCCCAGGGGAAGGGTACTGGGAATCCCTACGACTCCCAGGCTAACAGGCTCTTCCCACTGCGCTGACCGATGGGTTATCCAACTCGGCCAGCCGGGTGAAGTAGCCCCCCCCCTAGCCTGGAGCTAGTTGTCCCCTACCCTGGGTCCCCACTTCCCTACTGCTCACGAACCCGGCTCCTGGAAAAGACCCCCTCTACGTCACCGGTCCCCCCTCAAATACCCCGAGGGGACATGACATCACTCCTCCCGAGGCGAGTGTGACATTCCGTCATCCCTCTACTCCTCAACATATGTAAAGAAATCGTGTTGTGTTTACATTCGTAGTGAATGGTGAAGTGGTGCCGTGTCCATTTTTGTTTGAATTTCCCTTCACCTTTCATTCAGGGCTGCTACATATTTATTTGAGTACTCATGAAGAAGCAGTTGTGAAATGCGACAGCAGAGTATTATACTTTTTACTCACCGTCTCCGTTTCAGCATGATGCAATACATCTTCAGAGATATTTATATTTTATTATTTTGTTGTTTCTCTTCAACGTGACTTTACCGAAAAAACTAAGAATATGAATTACTGCAGTCACGAAAGCTTTAAATCAAATTCTTCAGAGATTTCATTGTACAGATTCTCATCCCTGCCTTTTGTCCAACAGACGAAGCCAACACTTCGGTGTCAGGTGTTCAACAGGGACCAGAACTGCCATCATTTACTCCATTCCGGTAATTGTACTGTCCGTTCACTGCATATGTCTTCCCTTGTCAAACTGTGAGCACCAATTATAATTGCTGTGGGTCGCGTGTGATGCACAAGTTGCTCTGCAGTTTCATGAATGAACTGCGGCACTCTCTAACTAAAGACGTCCCCATGTTTATTTTTCCAGGCTTGCGAACAACAAGGAGTGTGTGCTGAGCCCTGCACCCGGCCAACTGACGCTGCCTCCCTGCAAAAACCATTCGCTGCAACCCGCAGAGCCCTTTACGACTTCGGTGCACAAAACAGTACCCTCGGCCTATGTCACACACTCAACCGTTTCCTTCATGCACAGCGCCAAAGGAGGCACTGCGGCCTTGAAGCACGTGCCGATAACAAACGTGCACTGTGCGGGCCTCGTTCACCCTGCCACGCCCTCTGCGTACTCCTTCCCAAGAGCGCCGTCCGTTCAGAGCACGGCTCACACAGGGCTTTCCGTCGAGTGCCTTTCAATCGCGGCCACCAGCCCCGCTAGTTCCCCCGCGTCCTTGGCGCACCCAACCCTGTCCGTCGGTAACTCCGTGCCAGTGATGTCGTGCGTCCTCTCTCCTCAAGCCGCGTCACCCTCACCGCACGCGACCCACTCGCTGTTCTTGCACCGCTATCCGCCCCCGTCCTCGCAGCACCTGCATCCCGTGGCCTTGCCCGGTCAGCCACGATCGCCTCGCGATGACCTTCCCAACCACGATGTGGCGGCCCACCCCTTGCGGACCACCACGTCGTCACCGGTGTGCACGGGTAATTCTACGGTGGCGACGGCTATGACCGCCGACTGGCCGCTGCAAAGAACGGGCTCTCCGCACTCCCCATTGCCACAGCGCCAGCAACCGGTGCAGTTGCCGGTGGCAGTGTGGCACGGTTCGGAGTCTCCTGCGCACGCCCTGCGCTTGCTGCCTCACGCGGTCAGCCCGGCTCCGCCGGATCGTTCTGTTGACGCCGAGCTGTCGAATCAAGCACTGGCAGTGCAGGCGTTGAACCTGCACACGTGGCTCAAGCAGATACACCTGCACAAGTCGTACCCGGCGTTGCGTCACCTCTCGCTCAGCCAGGTAGGGCACACCCGTTGCTGACATTCTGGCACTAAGTTTTTTGTTATATCAATTGGGGATGCTGCCATGGTGTACTGATGTAAATAAGTGGCTCCGACACGGCAAGAACTTTATGTTTATTAATAAATCTTCGGTACAGCTTGGTTGTCTGTCACTACGGATGTTACGCCGCCCAGGCGGCTTCGCTGCCCCCACGCCACGTGGCGCTCACCCCCCGCTCGCTAACACGCCGCGGCTGACGGCGCGCTAGGGAGCGGTTGAGCGGCTGGAGGTCGAGACGCCACGTGGCCGATGGAGATGGCGGGGCAGCAGCGACGGGGAGCTCCTCTTGATCTTCAACCCCGACCCCGCACCTTACTCCGGCCCCCGCTTATATGCGCTCCCCGGCAGCTAAGCCCCGCCTCTGGCCACGCCCCTCCTGGAACTTGCGGGAACGCTTCCCAGGTGGATCCGCCCCCCCAGCTTGGCTCCAGATATAAACCCTACCATAACTGCATAACAAGTAACGCCCCATATAATACAGGAGATGGCGCTCTAATTACACTGGTAAGCACAATTGACTTGCAATCGAAATGTTACTTGTTTGATGCGCTCTACTGACATGGAAGTTGAAACAATGGTCCAGGTTTAATCAAATCCATTTGCGGTGCACCCATTTTCACTGCAGTCTTCCCGCACCTCCAATTAGCAGGGTTGGCTACATATGGTGCAAGAGAAGTTCAACATACATATACCATACCACGCGCTGCCAGATACATTTCTGCAGCCACCTCGAACGCTCTTCCTATATTTAAATTGAAAACTCTTTTCTTTAGGACTGCTTTTTGTGTTTAGTTTGTCCGTCCCACTCGCACCCCCGGTTAGCGCGGTTGGTTGTGTACGGTGCGAAAGAAGTTCAACATATGGTACATACAGAAGTATAAATGCGTGCTCCAAGAGTTAATTGATGGAGTAAAGCATCAGTTACTCCTAACTCTTCCAAAATGTCTGACTGGCATGGAAGATTAGGCCAAAAATCTTCTCGAGGGGGTTGCGAGCACTCTCTCTGGCGGAGGGCCCTCTGACCAGCAGTGGTGTGAGCAAGCAATTGCAGAGTTGCACTTTTGCCTTACGCCTGCACTAAAATGATCGTTCACTCTGTCCCACTTTATATTTTGAGACAGCCAATCGTGTTCGTGTACAGCCGCTCTTGTCAATCTATTGCTAGCTGGGTGGCCTTTGAGTCATTGGAGTTCTTTGACCATATTTTACCGTGCTAAAAGTCTTTCACCAGGTGTCGTTTGTTATTTTTAAGGAAACCGATAGGACAACTGGGAGTGCCTGGAAAATATTGCATTCTTCTAGCCAAGGACACCTGGCATTATTTCATTAAAAAACGAACACCCCTAAACCGGTCGCTGTAAAACTTAACCCCACAGCTTACATGAAGAGTTTTTTTGTGCAGGGTCAGCAAAATAACACAAAACAAGCATCAAAGGTTACGTTGCTTGCCGGCGTGATTGGCGCGTGTGTGCGATAGAATGTGTTGGTGTGTGGTGTAAGCTTGCGCACCTAACATTTGTGTCTGCGCTCTGTAAAGTTTCTGTGCTTGCATAATAATTGTTTGCCCTCCCAATACGGAGAATCTAAGGGGTTGTCTTGCTGGCTGTTTTTAAATTAACATTTGGAAATGACTTTTGGTGTGGAGCGGTGGCTGGCACAAGTGATTCACGCACAGCACTACAAAACCGGTGACCTGAGTTTGATTCCCGGCCACGGCTGACATCAGCAGCAAATTAAATCTGCGCCGGTCCTGGTACCCCTTTGACCAACAACCGATGCTGACCAGTGGGCAATATTTGGTGAACAACCAACCCCTTCCATTGGTCCTAAGGAGCAGTGGATTGATAAAATGTCTGTAAATTTATTATAATTATTGTCAATTTATTTTTTGTAAATGAATGCCGAGTGTTAATTGAGTCGTGGTCAAGTTGAGCAATTCCCATGTTCTGTTAAGATAATCAAACGGAACAATTGCGGCAGTATTTTAATGCCCAGCTGGACACCCCAATATGTGTGCAGGTGCTGAATCTCAGCGCTGAGGATGTGGAGAGGATGGACAGTTTGACCATCCGGGCGCGAAACAAACTCATTCACTACATACAGAGGTAAGCGTGCAGCGACGCATTCACAATTCATTTTGAATGCAGGAATTCGGCTGATACTTGGAAAGTAAAGTTCACTTTATGTGCTATAGATGATTTGTCAAAAATCATGTTGTCGCAATACTCAAAAAGGCATTGGGCGATGCCTGTTTCCCACAACCAGTGGTATAAATTCCACTTTCTTGTCATGGGGGGACCTTTTACTCGATATAATATGCCATTGCCTCCAGAGCACCGGTAGTCCGGTGCTCTGGTGGTTGACAAGCAGACTTGTGAAACTCCTAAGCCCTCTGGACTGTGATGTGGCCAGGAAATGGCAACACATCTCCCGCCCTCCTCTGTCTGTCTTTGTGGACCTTAGAGTATCATCTCCTGGTATGAGGTTTCTCCTGACACTCTGGATTGCTCCCACATTCAAAATGTTTAGTTAAAAGAACTTGGTCACACATCCAAATGCGGCTCTCCCATGAAAAAGTATTAAGACTCAGTGAGACTTTCCTGGATACATAAAAAAAGCACTGTTGATTTCCCACCAAGGGACACTGGTTTTTGCTTCGTGACTGTATGTATTATGGTGTGGATTCGAATTTGCAGTCTTGTGATGTGTTCTGTTGAGGTGTTTTTGCAATTCCCTCTATATCAGTGTGGCGTCTTTTGGTGAAGTCGCATTTGGCCACCACTACACGAAACCACATTGCGTTGTGTGTGTGTGTATATATATACACGCTACTGCTGCTTTTGCCACCTTTTGCTCTGTAGGGAGAGGGAAGAAATAGAGGCACGGACTCACGCACCTCAGGAAGCCGTTTCCCAGGGAGACTCGGCTCCGCTGGAGGGCAGAGACTTTGCTTCTGGTAAACTTTTTGCATCCATCCTGTTTTTTTTACACAGTTGCTCAAAGCGCCTGAAACGTCCGGTGGCCAGCAAGTTGACACATTTTTTTATTGAGCAAATTTTTTTTGTTAATTGAGCAAGGTTAATTAATGATTAAAATAGCTCTGAGGAAAGAGAGAAGATGGGAGGGGAATTCGTAAGTTGAGCAGTGCGAGGGTAAGAAGCAGAAAGAGAAGCGTTGTGAGCTGCAGTGTGGTGGTTGAACACAGCGTGGGCGAGGCAAAATAGTCTGCAAGACCATTGTGTATGTAAATGTTAATATCTAGCAACATAACGTGAATGAAAGCTGTACAATCCTAAATGCTAGCTCTCACCAGTACACACTCTACATCGATACCTGAACTGATTTATTAGCAGCCCAGTGCCTCTAACCAGATCACCTGAATTATGCCAGAGCTGTCAGGCCTTGGAAGCTAAAAAGATGTGAACCTGGATGGTGCTTGGATAGGGGACTACCATTTCATATCTGGTTGTTATAGGCTGCTGTGGGCACCAGAGGGCAATGCTCCCAAGTCTGGGCTGCCCACCAGTGGCAGGGGGGCCTGTGTAGGGTCCATGTGATATGCCTGGAAGGGGCACTTTGATTGGCCGGGCTTGTAGAGAGACCTGAGAAAGGAGTTGATGAGATCAAGGGCCCAATCCCGAGGCCAGTTGACTCATTGTTTGGTACTGCAGACATTGTAATGCTGTTTGCCAAAACTCGGATGGAAAGGACAATTCACTAAAACGTATGTATTATGCTGACCGTATTTTCCCCGCATATAGCCCGTGGGGTATGCCACTTTTTACAAACACAACAAGACCCTGCGGGGTATATGGAGGTGCGGGCTATCTCGTGTAACACGTAACTTGTTAATTTTTTTCATGGTAGGACTATCCACTATGCAACACTTACCTTTGACTAAAGCACTGCTGAATAAAGCACTCGCACTAAAATTACACGTTTTTAATTATTCCAATTGTTTGTACAATGAAATGACAATGTTTGAATGTGGGCGCACTGTGTTTATTGGCGACGGGAGAGCTGTGGGGATGGAGAGGTGGGGGGTTGGGGGGTCGGGCGCTGGGGGGTGGGGCGTTGGGGGGTGGGGCAGAGCAAGGTCTGTGGTAGTGACGGGAGAGCTGGGAGGAGAGAGAGGTGGGGGTTTGGGGGGTGGAGGGGTGGAGCGGCGGCGACGGGAGAGCTGGGAGATAGAGAGGTGGGGGGGGACGAGGCAACGTTGTTACCGGAGTGTTGCTATTATCTGCGCAGTGTGCAATCTACCAGTACTAAAACTGTACTTGCTTATCTACGGTTATGTGTTACTTATTTATTGGATATTTACTTTTGTTACTTATTTATTGTTTTAAGTTCACTTCTTTATTGGATATTTACTTTTGTTACTTATTTACTGTTTTAAGTTCACTTCTTTCCAGTTAGTTTGTTTTCTTTGTGCACGTTATGATTTTAATATTAACAATTGATAGTGGAATGTATTACAAATGTAAACTTCGTATTAATATGATGGAATTAAGCTGTGGTAACGACGTTAAAGATATGAATGCATGCGGGGTATATGGAGGTGCGGGCTATCTGAAATTTGTTTTACACAATACGCTACTTTGCGGGGTATATGCGTCTGCGGGTTATATGCGTATGCGGGCTATATGCGGGAAAATATGGTAATTATAATGTAGACTCTCCATCATGATTACTTACGAGGTGACAAATGAAATGACAATATTTGCAAATAATCTGTTCCCTGGGTTTTATTATACAGCATTTTACCGTCGATATTAATTTCTGCAAGTTGACTTTAAGCTTGAGCGTGCGTTTTACCCCAAAGATTCCAGCTGCGCTGTGGAAGAAAATGAGGCTGTCAGAAGGGACATGTCCTGGCAAGTGACGACCCAAGTGCTGCCTACACAGACGCACTTCCATCCGGTTTCCATAGCGATGCCCTTCAGCCCCACGGTACCGCCTACATTCTCGGCGGCGTCGCTCTATGGCACGATGGGCGTCCACCCGATGCCCATGGTCCAGGCGTATGACCCGTCCTTGACGTCCTACTCGGGCCCTGCAGGCGTCTCCTACAGCTTGAAGCCCTCCGAAGCCATTCCGGTCGCCGCCCATTTCACCGCGTCTCCGAATATGTCCATTGCTACCACCAACCACATGGGATCTGCGACACCATACAATGTCGCGTATTACAACTCTGTGCATCATCCTGTGCCGGTGAACCACCTCACGTCTAACTCTCCGTCGGTCATGGCGTCTATGCATCAGCCCGTTGGGGTAGCAACGGCGTTCTCCCCCCTCCACGCTCCCATTGTGTTGCCGTACAACCCCACGGCCGCGTCAGTGCCTTTTTGCCATGCGTCCGTCAGCGGCATTCCCGTGGGCACCGTCGCTTCTGCCTGCTCGGCCCCATCAAGCCCCACGCCGCCCCTCCACGGTCCCCGGCTGGAGACGAGGTCAGGGCCATCCCTGGTCAAAAACCGTCCTGGTCCGTCGGGAAAAACGTCGCATGGGAACGCAAAGGGTGCGATAAAACTGGATGTTGTGGTCGCTCCCGACGGCCTACTTGCAGAGGTCACGCCGACATCATCAAGTTTCAGGATGGGCAGCACCAACATGTCCACTCCGATGTATGCGACGTCTTCGGCTGTGGCGACCTCGCCGTACATTTTCACGGCGTCCAAAGTGAAAAGCTGCTCCGTGACCGATTCCGCCGCTCACCCGTCATGTTCTCCCTTGCACAGCTGCCATTCCGCCTCGGCACACAGGGAGCCAAGCTGCGCGCCGTCCCCTGTGGTGACCAGCTCTCGAGCACCGGCGCACGGCCCTAGCAGAGTGCGATCGAGGAGACCCGCGACTTTTTCGGAGGGATCCTCCCAAACCCACGCTGACCATCAGTGCAACTCGTTAGATGGTAACTCTGCACCCTCCAGTATCAAACCACCGGTGTCAAGCTCTCAGAGCCAGTTCTTGATTGGCATCAACTCTTCCCACGTTATTCAGCTGAACACACAACCTACGCCATATGTTAGCAACGATAGGATGGCTGTCGCTCCGACTTCTGCGTTGAATTGCCACGTTTCCGGTGCCACGAGCGCAAACACGCATCTGGGCTCGAATCCGACAACCGTCACTACGCGCAGCACCTGCAGCCCCGGCTCGTCTGGTGGCCGGATGGAGAAGAGGGGGCCAGGTGCGCACGAGCATCACAAGGGCAGCGACGACACGTCAGTCTGTGGCACACACAAAGCACCGCTAGAAAGGAGCGCGAGCGCCGCTTACGAGTCGTGGGAAAGGGCTTTCGATGGAGATGGGCGGGCGCTGTCACTGGAGCTGAGCGATGGAAACGACAGTGCCACCAACAATCCCGGCGAGGGCAGAGTCTATGACCGTGGGGCGGGAGCGGGCACCGGCGAGGACGTCGACGACATTGAGGAGGCCGCACAGTACGATGTTGTGAAACCCGAATGCTACGAATCCGGCGGTGGCGTCGCTTTTGTAACCGACGAGAGTGCGGCGTACGGCCCGGAGGAGAGCGCATGCTACGAGATCGGCGAGGACGTCGAATGCGGTGCTGACCTGCCGTCTCTCGCTGCCCGCTCGCTCTCGGGCTGCGGGATGTGCGGCTGTAACGGTAGCTGCAGCGGCAGCACTTCCAGCGCCGAGGCCGGCGAGCCACCGCTGCCGCCCTCCGTTGCGTCGACAGCTTTCGGTTACCCCAACTACTACCAGAACACCATGCCACCCGGCAACACTTACGCGTTTCAGCACTACACGCTGTCCCTAGGCGTGTCCGGGAGCTACCTGGCGCCACCGCGGTACGGTCTGCAGTACCCGTACTACCACCCGTCGCCTGCCGGGTCCCAGCACCAGTCCATGCAGGCGTACGGCACCATGGTGCCGCCGCCGCCGCGGGAGATGGTGGGCGACGGGCAGCAGACGGGCGCGGTGTTCGTGGCAGGGGGTGTGGGACCCCGACACCCGGCCGCACTGCCGCCACTGCAACATCGCAAGCCGCCCATCCCGTCGTGCTTCAACTGCGGCGTGAGCGGCCACCAGGCCCCCGAGTGCACTCAGCCAAGCATGGATTCCAACCAGCCTGGTGAGGCCACCATCCATCGCATGCCCGTAATCCAGCATTGTGGAGGCGAGGGTTGGTGAATCGCAAAAATGTTGCGAGACTTCCTTTCACTAGTCGTTGAAGTGTCATAACCCTGGCTTGGCAGAAGGCAGTAGAGCAAAACTGTGGACTCACGGTTTGTTTGTTTAGTAAGTGTTTAAGCCAGCTGGCCAAGATTAGGCAAAACTTATCCCACTTTTCCCCCCTGGCAACTGGTTCTGTCTTCCTGGGATAGTGTTTTCCCCCTTACATGCAATGAGTTTCTCCAAGCACTCTGGTTTCCTCCTCCATGTGAACACTCATTTTTTCGATAATACCTTAATACGTAGAGGGACAGCAGAGCTCTGGGAATTGGCGCTGGCTTACTGGGTGGCTACAGACCACTTGTCTTTGCAATGCGTTACATCTAGAAATGATTCTTATTAAATATAATAAGTAAGATGAAGCTGTTTATCCAGTAACTCCTCGCTGATTTATTGGAAAGTTTAACACGCTGGCAAATGTCATTGTTTTTCTTTTTGTCACAATTGTGTGCCTCCATTACCAACAATAAGGGCCAATTATCAAGGTCCTCTTCTTTTGTATGGCTGATGTGGATGCAGAGAAACAACTACAATTTCACATTCAGGTGATAATTATCAAGGTCATAATCTGGCTGTGTCATAAAGACATGGCTTATTTCTATATTTCTATAATAATTTTCTCAATCTTTTCTAGTCGGATCTGTAGCATAAAGTTGTCACTCAAAGATTAATGTTCAACGCATCGCAGTCAAACTGAATTTAGCTACAGCTTAAGCACAGAAACAAATTTTACTTCATATTTTTTTACTTTCACATGTGCCCTCATTGAAAACCATCAACTTATCTGGAGAACCCAGTTATATCACACGGCTGCCTGGATTGGAACGCAGTGTCTGAGCGGTGCCTGCTCACACCGGCCACCTTGCCACTTCGGTCCGCGACATCTCGATCTTATTTTGTTGACGATTAAAGTTTTCCCCGCGGTTTTCTTTATTTCCACTAAACTTTCCGTGCACGCGTGCGTGTGTGTGTTCTCCGCGTGCAGCGACGTTCAGGTTTCGTTACTCCACTCACGCAGACGGCCTGGATACAGTGGATTGACGGACGGAGTGGGGGCCCGCGGATTGATGAACCCCTCGCGCCTCTCCCCCGCCACCCTGCTCACCAACTTGCCTTGACGTGGTTTGCCCACTTTCCCAAAAGTGGCCACTACCTGACCGACATGCGCACAGAAAGAAAGTGGTCGTTTTACCGTGCGACTTGCATGCCTCCCGGGGGGCGCTTTGATTGCCAGGTATGCTTTATGTAAATAAGTAAAAAAGTTAAAATTGAAATGAGAGCATATGAAACTGCCGACTTTTTTTAATTGGTGCATAGTCCATCACTGCAAGCAATACTACTTGAGGCATCCTTAGAATTTAGCAGGAACAAAAATTGTTTATTTTATTTTCTGCATTTACAAACAAATTTTGTTTAAGCCTACTGATGCAAATTGCACTCTAAATTAAGAATCAACAATCGACAGGGGGGTGAGGTTAAAAGTTATGTTCTTAAAAATTGCATTCTCAGCGTCGATCAAATGCCCTCATATCCCTGCTATCGGGCAGCGCTTATACAGGCCCTCAGAGGAAACACTGTTTGTGTAAACCAAGGCTGCCTGACCACGGTCCATTCAGGAAAAATAAATATAGCTGGCGTATACTTCAGTCCAGCCTGTCTACAGCATTGAAGTTGGGTTTTTCATCCAGGCTTTGACACTTCCAACATGCAGCTTTCTGAACGTTATTGTTCTTTTTCCTGTGTTTTGTTTTGCATCCTACTTACCTGTTAAGTGGGGTGGAGAGCAAGTGTTGATTTTAAGTTACATTTCCATTGTGTTATAAGGCCAGTTTACATACCACATTTTTTTTTCAGCTGAACTCTCGAGGCTTTTTATTCCGTGGGTATTTTGGGTTTAGCTTGAAGCGGGGACGACTGTTAAGTGTGTATCCGGTGGGGGGAGAAGTGTTCACATTTACAAATCTCGATGCAGGTTCTGATACAGAATGAGACGATCGCCGTCGTTAGCAGATTAATGCAGCTGTGCGAATTGCGTCGGCGCAGGAGGTAGAGGCCACGCTATTGGCAGTAGAGTAGACATTGTTTAAATTAAACGTCATATTTGATTTGCGCATGCTTATTTTAATCGTTGGTATTTCATTGCAGCTGTGTTGTGTAATGTAGCTCGCAGGGAGCGTGCGAGCATAGGACAGGCCTCCAGATCCCAAAACGACCTCAAGCTTCGCGCTGTTTTAACAGCAGCGCTGTGGGCACACGGCGCCAATGCAAATACGGCTGCTGCATACACATGCGGACAACCAGGCGCAAGTCTCGCTGCAAGCGATTCCACCATGACATCTCAGCGTTTGCAGACGTAATCTGTTAAAATCAAAACGAGTTTGAGTGCTTAAACTATAATATGCTCGTAATTTTAGTCTATTCTCTCAGCTGCTGGAAACATTTGGGTCATACATTAACGTTTCTATTTTTTATTTAGAGCTTGTAATTCATTATGCTTTAGGCAATATATAGCTTCTCATACAGAATAAATTTGTACATGTCTGAAAAGACATTTAATTAATTGTTCTAAAGCCAAAACAATCTTAACTTAGAATTTTGAAGCCTGAATACATACAGTGAGGGAAAAAGTATTTGATCCCCTGCTGATTTTGTACGTTTGCCCACTGACAAAGAAATGATCAGTCAATAATTTTAATGGTAGGTTTATTTGAACAGTGAGAGACAGAATAACAACAAAAAAATCCGGAAAAACGCATGTCAAAAATGTTATAAATTAATTTGCATTTTATTTCGATTTAAAGCTTTCGTGACTGCAGGGATTCATGTTCTTGGTTCTTTCGGTAAAGTCACGTAGAATGGAAATAAAATAATAAAAATAAAACATAATAAAATAAAATTCTCACGACGTTTCGGCCACAACACAAGTAGCCTTCTTCAGGTGAAGAAACAGGTCTGTCCAGAAGACAGAGCTTGAGTGAACACTGTCAAGCAAGGACCGCGTCTTTTCAGCTGTGTGGGCGGAGTTAACATATGAATTAGCATGTTACCAGCCCCACCTCCGGAGCGGAGGAGGGTGGCGGCTGGGCACAGAAAAAAGCAGAACAGCTAAGGTGCGCTGCTCTGTCCTGTGTTGCATTATAACTATGCTATAAACTGGACTACTATACAATATAATATTATACCTTACAATCTAAACTACATGGTATAACATCATATCCATAGACAAATTCCACCTTTGAATTATACAATGCGTTACTTTACACTACCCTATACTTTAGACTATAAAATATTAGACTTGTAACATTACACTATGTCTTATTCTATGAACCCAACTATATACCACACTGCTGTATATTCATTATAAGATCGCAGTCCATTCGCTGGCACTGCCTCTTAATACCTATCACACCACGGTTAATGATATGGTTTATGTCATGTGGTATAATAAATAGTATAACATAGTATTGTTTAACATAATTCATAAGGCAATATATAGTATCGTAATTGGATAGTGAATATACAGCAGTGTGGTATATAGTTGGGTTCATGGAATAAGACATAGTGTAATGTTACAAGTCTAATATTTTATAGTCTAAAGTTTCGGGTCGTGTAAAGTAACGCATTGTATAATTCAAAGGTGGAATTTGTCTATGGATATGATGTTATACCATGTAGTTTAGATTGTAAGGTATAATATATTGTATGGTAGTTCAGTTTATAGCATAGTTATAATGCAACACAGGACTGAGCAGCGCACCTTAGCTGTTCTGCTTATTTCTGTGCCCAGCCGCCACCCTTCTCCGCTCTGGAGGTGGGGCTGGGTAACATGCTAATTCATATGTTAACTCCGCCCACACAGCTTAAAAGACGCGCTCCATGCTTGACAGTGTTCACTCAAGCTCTGTCTTCTGGACAGACCTGTTTCTTCACCTGAAGAAGGCTACTTGTGTTGTGGCCGAAGCGTCGTGAGAATTGTATTTTATTATGTTTTATTTTTATTATTTTATTTCCATTCTACGTGACTTTACCGAAAGAACCAAGACGACGATTTGCATTTTAATGAGGGAAATAAGTATTTGACCCCTTTGCAAAACATGACTTAGTACTTGGTGGCAAAACCCTTGTTGGTAATCACAGAGGTCAGATGTTTCTTGTAGTTGGCCACCAGGTTTGCACACATCTCAGGAGGGATTTTGTCCCACTCCTCTTTGCAGATCTTCTCCAAGTCATTAATGTTTCGAGGCTGACGTTTGGCAACTCGAACCTTCAGCTCCCTCCACAGATTTTCTATGGGATTAAGATCTGGAGACTAGCTAGGCCACTCCAGGACCTTAATGTGCTTCTTCTTGAGCCACCCCTTGTTGCCTTGGCCGTGTGTTTTGAGTCATTGTCATGCTGGAATACCCATCCACGACCCATTTTCAATGCCCTGGCTGAGGGAAGGAGGTTCTCACCCAAGATTTGACGGTACATGGCCCCGTCCATCGTCCCTTTGATGTGGTGAAGTTGTCCTGTCCCCTTAACAGAAAAACACCCCAAAAGCATAATGTTTACACCTCCATGTTTGACGGTGGGGATGGTGTTCTTGGGGTCATAGGCAGCATTCCTCCTCCTCCAAACATGGCGAGTTGAATTGATGCCAAAGAGCTCCATTTTGGTCTCATCTGACCACAACACTTTCACCCAGTTGTCCTCTGAATCATTCAGATGTTCATTGGCAAACTTCAGACGGGCATGTATATGTGCTTTCTTGAGCAGGGGGACCTTGCGGGCGCTGCAGGATTTCAGTCCTTTACGGCGTAGTGTGTTACCAATTGTTTTCTTGGTGACTATGGTCCCAGCTGCCTTGAGATCATTGACAAGATCCTCCCGTGTAGTTCTGGGCTGATTCCTCACCGTTCTCATGATCATTGCAACTCCACGAGGTGAGATCTTGCATGGAGCCCCAGGCCGAGGGAGATTGACAGTTCTTTTGTGTTTCTTCCATTTGCGAATAATCGCACCAACTGTTGTCACCTTCTCACCAAGCTGCTTGGCAATGGTCTTGTAGCCCATTCCAGCCTTGTGTAGGTCTACAATCTTGTCCCTGACATCCTTGGAGAGCTCATTGGTCTTGGCCATGGTGGAGAGTTTGGAATCTGATTGATTGCTTCTGTGGACAGGTGTCTTTTATACAGGTAACAAGGTGAGATTAGGAGCACTCCCTTTAAGAGTGTGCTCCTAATCTCAGCTCGTTACCTGTATAAAAGACACCTGGAAGCCAGAAATCTTTCTGATTCAGAGGGGGTCAAATACTTATTTCCCTCATTAAAATGCAAATCAATTTATAACATTTTTGACATGCGTTTTTCTGAATTTTTTGTTGTTATTCTGTCTCTCACTGTTCAAATAAACCTACCATTAAAATTATATACTGATCATTTCTTTGTCAGTGGGCAAACGTACAAAATCAGCAGGGAATAAAATACTTTTTTCCCTCACTATTTCCAAGTTGTATCGGCACACCTACGATAATAATCTCGTGCTGGATGAAGGCCTTCCCAAGCTATGTCACTCATGGAGGTTGTTGAAGCATACTTCACCCTGCTGGTCGGTGCAAGTTGGCAAAGTAGGGAGGCCCAGGACCAATTTGGATATTGCTTGCCACCGATGTGAACCAGCATTGCCGGGTTCATAATACAGTGCACGAACTACCGCTTCCACGCCTGTCTTTAACAATAACATTGTAAAACCTTGCTTAAGTAGACAATTAGCATTTGGTCATCAGAATACTTGCTTGGACAAAAAGACTGGCTGCCGATGATAGTCTCTCATCTGCCTAAAGCCAAGGCGTTTGGACACTCAGGATTTGGATCGAAAGAGCACATGTATTTGCAGGGCATTTGAAATATTAATTCGTATGAATAAAATGCATGGGTGGTATTTGCAATGTCATTAAATTGTTGAATCTCTTTCCTTTCCAACCGCTCTGGATAGCTTCCATCAAAGAGCCACCCCAAGGGTTTATGTGAAACATTCTGATTGCCTAATCACAGTAGGATATGATTCTTACAGTGTTGATGGTGACACGGGGTGGACTCCATATCTAAGATTTTATTTTATCAGCATCCCGTTTGAGGGTTCCCGTAAAATAGGCAGCAGGCATGCAGATTGATGTCGTGTCGCCTCGGCGCATGGTGGTCCAATGATGGCTTTGGAAGCTATTAACAATCGGTCCCTGTGTCGTGTCGGTGTTGACGTTGCCAGTTTACCTCACTTTTGGCAAGTGTGCCGTCATAACACACAAGGGCAGGAAATATGAGAGGGCCGCGCTGCTCTTACCGTGTTGCAGTCATGATCATTGCATCTGGCTGCAACCGCAGCCGTTGCTTTAACCTTACGTGTACATTTGCTGGCTCTGTTTTTTTATGCAGGTTGTTGCGGTTGGATTGTACCGCATTGCTACATCCTCAAACTGCAGACAAATGCTCTAATTTGTTATTGGGGACACATCTGCAGCTTGTAATGTTGCATTAGCACACGTCGATTGAATATTATGGGGGGCCGCAGAGCCACGCTGTGTGGCCCCCGTAGTAGGAGGTGGCGCGTGTGCCAGATTCCTTCGTGCTTCACGTGGACCGCAAAACACTTCTATCATTTTTGTTGCTTTCCTTTTGTTATTTTTAATCGTTGAAATGCCACACTACACGAAATACATTGTGCATTTGTAAAAAAATGAGAATTTAATTTTATGTATTTAATGTTAAAATTTAAATAAGTTTAATAAAAATTTCAAACATTTCATAGTACGTTCTTGCATCTTTGTCATTTATCCATAAAATACCATTTTGTTGTGGAATAAAGAGTTCCGCTCCATTTCTTAGCCTCCCTCGATGGGGCGCTGGCCATGAGATGGCCTCTCCAACACCGCAGGGGCCATGAGATGGCCTCTCCAATACCACGGGGGCCGTGAGATGGCCTCTCCAATACCACGGGGGCCGTGAGATGGCCTCGCCCACACCACGGGGGCCGTGAGATGGCCTCTCCCTCACCATGGGGGCCGTGAGATGGCCTCTCCCACACCATGGGGTCCGTGAGATGTCCTCTCCCACACCATGGGGGCCGTGAGATGGCCTCTCCCACACCACGGGGGCCATGAGATGGCCTCTCCCACACCACGGGGGCCTGAGATGACCTCTCCCACACCACGGGGACCGTTGGATGGCTTCTTCCACACCATGGGGGCCGTGAAATGGCCTCTCCCAAATCACGGGGGCGTGAGGTGGCCTCTCCCACACCATGGGGGCCGTGAGATGGCCTCCCACACCACGGGGGCTGTGAGATGCCCTCTCCCACACCATGGGGGCCTGAGATGACCTCTCCCACACCATGGGGGCCTGAGATGACCTCTCCCACACCACAGGGACCGTGAGATGGCCTCTCCCACACCACGGGGGCCGTGAGATGCCCTCTCCCACACTACGTGGGCCATGAGATGCTCTCTCCCACACCACGGGAGCCGTCACACCGAGCTCTGTCCCAACAGCAGCGTCAATCCAAACTCTTTTGAGTCGTCCTCACTTTTCCATTCATGCAAGGTTATTTTTCCCCAAAAAAATTTGGGGGTGGGAATTGTGTAAAAATATAACTGATGCATCCGTTTCCAGGTAAGAATTCTAATAAGATAA